GGGAGGTGTTGTTACTCTCACCACCTGTGCAGCCTGTCCCGGCCGTGCGGCTGCAGCAGGTCCTGGTGAACTCACCGGAGCTACGTCTAGACTCGCATGATTTTCCGGAAATGCTTTTAACAGAAAAGTTTTCCGTTAAAAGCATTTTCAGAACAGAGCGTCTAGACTGGCAGGGACGCTTTAACACAAAAGCACTTTTTGCGGAAAAGCGTCCGTGCCGATCTAGACGCGGTTTTGCACAAGAAAGCCCCGATCGCCATTTTCGCCATCAGGGCTTTTTTGTGCAAAACAGTCCTGAGCTGTCTACACTGGCCCTCTTGCACAAAAGCATTTGCACAAGAGGGCTTTTATCCGAACGGGAGCATCATAGCATTTCCGCAAGAAGCACTGATTTCAGACAGTAGGAAGTCAGCGTTCTTGCGGAAATTCAAGCGGCCAATGTAGACAGCCAGCAAGTTTTTCCGCAAAAGCAGTGGCAATATCTATCTTTTATGGCCCCCAACGAATCCATCTGTATTGAGATGAATACATTGTAAAATCTCAGTTAAAGTCAGTTGGTCTAAATCAGTTATAAATATATTTGGACACAACATGTATAGTTGGTGTTATGTTCCTGTTCATATTTTTTGAACTTAAAAGTTGACAGACAACCTTTATTACCAATAATATGTAATGTACTTTACAATGTTCCTGACATATATTTCAGCTTCCTGGATTTTTTTTTTCATCTGGCCTTCAGATATGAAAGGCAGAGTGATTTAACACCTGTTTAGATTTGTCATCCATGTGACGAAATGAAAAGTATGCCGTTTGCAATAAACTTTGCATAAAATAGTTAATTTGTGTTTAATTTTAATGGTTCAAAGAATGTCAGGCAAAATGGTCGGCCCTCACGCATGTTCACTTCATCAAATCTGGCCCTCTTTGAAAAAAGTTTGGACACCCCTGTCCTACACCATCTCTATGTAAAGAGGCTTAGACGTAATTGTGCAAATGTGCATGCTATTTTCATTGCTTTCTAGTCCTCTAAAGCAAAGGCTATAGAAGAATTTAGAAGAACTCCTTTTTATCCAGCAGCTGAAATGATTGTAGAGAACTCCCAGCGCCAATCGCGCCCCGCCTCCCAGCCACTCTCCCCTACCCCCGCTAGGCTTCTGACACATCCAGAGCGCTGATCGTGGCCCTGCCTGCCAACTGGGACTCTCAGGCTGGGAGCCTGTGATTGCGCAGAAGCCTGGCAAGGGCGGGGGGAGTGGTTGGGAGTCCCATCCTGCGTAATCACAGGCTCCTAGCGCCGATCGTGGCCCCGCCTTCCAGCCGCTTCCCCCGCCCACGCCAGGCTTCCGTCCGGTGTGCAGCTGGAAAAATCAGAAAATACCGGAAATTGCATATGGCTGGTATTTTCTGTTTTTTTTTACCGGACAGAGAGCGCAAATACCGGACTGTCCGGTAGTATACTGGACACCTGGCAATCTTACCTGAAGTTCCTAAGATAACAGGAAAGGAGATTAAGCTCTGCCTCTCCCTCAGCTAGATGAGGGCCCATACATCTAGGTCACAATGTCTGGGGATCTGATTAATTGAAACTGGGTGACAGGGAGAGTGTAACCTGAACTGGCACTAAGCTAAACACTCTTGTCTGCTTTGAAAGTGAAGTCAGGGTGTTTGCTAGGGTACAAAGGCAGAGAGAGGATCTTGCTTCAGGCCTGCAATCTTGGACATAAGAGAACAGGCTTATGCTCCATCAGTCATAAGGACATAAGAACGACCAGTCCAAAGGTCCATCCAGTCCAGTGTCCTGTCTGCTGACAGCGGCCAATGTCAGGTATCCCAGAGGGAATGAACGGAACAGGCAGTCATCAAATGACCCATCCCATGCCCATTCCCAGCATC